TGGGGCGGGAGCCACTGAGCCCGGGGTGGGTGCGGGCAGCGCGGGGCCGGGGGCGCCGAGCCCCTACGCGGGGCTCAGGGGCCGGCGGGCGCGCGTGGACGAGGCGGAGACGGGCCTGTCTTCGGAGCCGCGTCTTCGTGAGGGGACGTGCCGAGCTGGGGGAGCCCCCCGCGGCCGGGCTGCTCTTCCCGGGGGGCGGGGGCGGGGGCGACACGAGGCCGTCGGCGCTACTGCCCGGCTGCTCAAAACCCGAATGTCATCGCAGGAGTTGGAGCTAGAAAAGGGGCCGCCTGGTTCGGTATTTCCGCTGGCTGAAGCCGGCTCGCCGTGGAGTATTGCTCCGCTGTCCTTTATGTGATGCCTGCAAGCAGAGACGTGGACGCTGCGGACGTTCGGAGGGCGATGATCCGGTGCAAAAGGGGTCTGTGGTCCTTGGTGTAGCTGCTTTTCAGTTTAAGGCCATTGCGCTCTGCTCTTGTAAAGCTCACCTGTGTGAGCTAAACAGGTAAAGGCTGCGCCGTCGCCCTCCTAACCACCTCAGATACCAGCTCAGCTCTGGTGATCCTGCCTGGCATCCTTCAGACTCCGTCACCAGAGAAATGACTGCGTGAAGGCTCGTTCCCGGGGCTCCGAGGCACTCCCGTAGGCTCTTGGGCAGACTCGAAAGCATCTCGGCCTGAGAATTGCCTCCTTTTGTCTTTGTCCCTAGTTCAAAGAAGAAATCTCCAGGCGGTTTAAAGCCAAACAGGATCAGCTGGTTCTGATCTTTGCGGGGAAGATCCTGAAGGATGGAGACACATTGAGCCAACACGGGATCAAAGATGGACTGACTGTGCACTTGGTGATTAAGACCCCACAGAAGTAAGAAATCGTCCTTTCCCGGGGTTTTAGGAAATAGCACCGCGTGTTTGTGAATTCCTAGCTGTCAAATGTACGAGTTCAAATTTGGGGGGCTGTGGGACTTTGCTCTAATTGGGTCTTGGCTTCTGGGCTCCTGGGTTTCATAAAGCTTTGCAGAGTTGACGTGCTTAGAAATCTTACGAGTATTAGTTGTTGTGTGTCAGAACCTATTAAAGCAGGGATTTCTCCGGGTGACGGAGAGGATATGGAGATTATTTCACTTGCTTATAGCCATGTGAAGCCAGAACCTCGCACTCCAGGGTCCCCGCGGTGGGGTCTGACTGTCCTGTGTGCTGGGAGATCTTTCAGCAAGAGGCGTTCAGTGAGTGTACAGCATTATCAAGAGGACGTAATAACGTTTTTGGGGGTAACTTTCAGGCAGACCAGAGACATGGGTGTAAATCAGCATATTGGAAAGCTGCTGCTGGGCGACTCTTAAGTTACCGTTGTCTAATGATTCCTGGTGCCTTCACCGCATTACAGATGCAAGCAGGCCAACTTGTTCCTAATGGCCCTTTCCCACTGTTCCCGGGACTTGTCTTTCCATCTGAGCAGTGGGCGTCACTAAACAGGCTCACGCTCCTTTTGAAGCTCTGTTGTCCCCCAGCGGGAGCGCCTCCTCCCTGGCTTATTAAAAATCAGTACCTCTTTTCTGAAGCCACACGAATTGTCAGCTACTGTTGGAGGCTTTTGTACAGAACACTACTTCTGCATGGAGCGTGCTGATGCCATGCTGCTTCCCGCTGTCTCCACGATAAACCTCAGCACTCGCAAACTGTCTCCTGGGATAAACTAAAGACTGGCCCATCATTCATTTTTTGTCTCTCTAATGGTCACCAGCATGTGTGCATCGCAGCCTTTCCTTCCTGTGCTGAGAGAGTCCAAGTGACCCTGATCTTTCTTCATTTTTTTTTTGTTGTTAAACTTCCTATTTCCCATCTGCTTGGCTTCTCCCCAGTCTCCCCGACTGCAGCCGCTGCTGTGGCAGCAGCGAAATTAGTTTATAAAATGCTTGGGATTAAAAATTGCTGCAGAAAGTTCCATGGAGGCAAAAAAATCCTCATCCAACAATTTCTGTGCTCCCGGTAGCCGCAAGCCTGCTCCCTGGGTAGTTATTCTAAAGTATTTTTCCTAGGGCAAGCGTCTCACAGCAGCTGGCTAGGCACGCTCTATTTCAGCTGCTTTTGGAGGGGAGGCTGTGTGAATGGAGGTGGATGGCAGTACAGAGAGATCTCGGAGGGCTGCAAGGGGAGAAGGGCTTTCTAAACAGCTGGCCAGCTGTGCTTTCTTTCCAAGACACTGGCCATCTGCAGTTCCAACCCCTTTAAGGGCCACCTCTGCAGATTCTCCTTTCCCAGTCTCATTGCTTTCCTCCCACATTCACAGCTTTCCCATAAGGTTTTTGTTTCTCCTTTTAGAAAGGCAGTCAGCTTTCCTTTCTGCTCAGTGCAAGGAGCTACCTCCCTGCAGGCTGTTCAGGTACTGGGGGCAGCAGGTTCTCTTGCGCGGAGTGGGCAAGGAAGGGATTAACCCTTCATTGTGGTTGAATGGCCAGCTTATGGGAAGGGGGCATCGTTTGCAAACCACTTGATGGTTCCACATTCATAATGGCATTGACATGCACTGTAGCCCCCTTTTTCAGATGAGTTGCTGGTAGTTCCAGGGGTCATGCCCACGCTCCTATTGGGGATTGGGACTTTAACTGCTTTTTGGGTTTTAAAGTGTTCTTTTTTTCCTCCCCCCACATTGCTGTGTGAGAGAGAGAAATGAGGAAGGGAAACTAGCATAGCTAGAACAGCTGTGGTAGCAAATGGCTTCTCACCCTGCCAGCGTGGGTGTGTCCTTTTAACCTTAACAAGCTTGCTCATGGATCTGACTAAGCTTGGGTGCAAGTTTCTGCAGCATCAGGGCCTTGCTTCTCTCCTGTTTCTGCTTATAATATGCCCTGTTGGTTAAAGAGAAAAGAACATGAGAAAGTCAAGCTGGAAGGGACCTCATACAGTCATCTAGTCAAGCCCCCTGCTCAAAGCAGGATCAGCCCTGACTCAGATTCACAGAAGTTCAGGGCTGGAAGAGACCTCATGAGATCATTGGGTCCAGTCCTCCTGTTCTTAGCAGGAAAGACCACTGGGGTCAAATAACCCCAGCAAGACTCAGCCATCCCAGCCCAGTGTCTGTCCTACCTGCCCTTAAACATTTCCAGGGATGGAGATTCCCCCACCTCTCTAGGTGCCTGTTCCAGTGCTTGACCACCCTCCAAGTCAAAAAGTTCCTCCTCCAGCCTAAACTGCCCTGCTGCAGCTTATGGCCATTGTTCCTTGTCCTGTCCCCTGCAGCCACAGAGGAAAGCCCATTTCTGTTATATGTGGTAAAAGTCCATGGTGCAGTCAAATGGGTCAAGAATGCTGGTAACCAACTAGATGCTTTTTTGATACAAAACACAAAAGTCGGTGCCTGCTTAGGGACCATCTCCTCTGAGGTGTTTTGACTGAGTTAAGTATATACAAACATTGCTTCCCTTCTCGTTGCCTTGGGTGAGAGCAGGTGGTTTTGGATGTGATGGCTCTACATCCCCCTTGACCGGAGGTGGTCACTCTCAACTTCTTTTCTTGAACTGCAGAAGGGAACTGGCTTTGTGAGTTTCCCTGCCGCAGCGGTGTCTCTTCTCTCTTTAGGGTTCCAGATCCTTCAGCTGCTGCTGCCTCTGCTACTTCTGCTGCTGCCTCCACCCCTGCTGCAACCCCTGCCTCTCCCGCTGCCCCATCTCAGCCTTCCACGTCCAGCAGTGCTGGCTCTGATGGGGGAGGCGGCAGCCGGCGGAGCAGCGGGTCAGGGACCACGGTGGGTGCTGGAGATGGAGCGCCCAGCAACCCTGCATCCATCCTCTGTGAGTGATGTGGTTGGTTTCTCTGCCTGTATAGTTCAGCCTATGCATCACTCTTTTTCCTGGCTGAAAGTGCTTGTCCTGACAGTCTGTCTCTCTCCAGCGGGTTTTGGAGGCATCACCGGCCTCGGCAACCTCGGGATGGGCTCCGCCAACTTCATGGAGCTCCAGCAGCAGATGCAACGGCAGCTGATGTCTAACCCGGAGATGCTATCCCAGATCATGGAGAACCCTCTGGTGCAGAACATGATGTCTAATCCCGACCTGATGAGGCAGATGATCATGGCCAATCCCCAGATGCAGCAGCTCATGGAGCGGAACCCTGAGATCAGCCACATGCTGAACAACCCAGAGCTGATGAGGCAGGTGGGTGAGAGGGTCAAAGTCCAGGAACCTACCTCTGAATCCTTCCCTGTGGACCTGAGACAGGCACTGAAATGGTGAAAGCTTAGTCTCTAGGATGCTACCGAGCCGTTTAGCCCATAACAATGCATGCTGGAGTCTTTCATGGTGCAAACTGCCCTGATTCGTAGATGTTAGGGTCGGAAGGGACCTCAATAGATCATCTATCTTCCCAAACTCTCCTTCCACAGACGATGGAGCTGGCTCGCAACCCCGCCATGATGCAGGAGATGATGCGGAACCAGGACCGAGCCCTGAGCAACCTTGAGAGCATTCCAGGAGGGTACAATGCCCTGCGCCGGATGTACACGGACATCCAGGAGCCCATGTTCAGTGCAGCAAGGGAGCAGGTATGGAGGGGACTATGGGGGCAGCAGCAGTGGGGTCTGTCCTCCTTACGGGTGAGAGTAAAACCACCTTGCACAAGGGACTGTAGTGCTGGGTGCAGGTTTCTCAACAAGGGGAGTGCTTAATAAATCTCAGACTAGGGCAGACAGGATCTGTATTGCGTATGTTCCAATAACCCCCGCAGGGGCAGGTTCTCACGGCCTTTTGGGTGGGCTGATTCAGTTCTCTTTCTCTGTCTAGTTTGGCAACAATCCTTTCTCCTCCTTGGCTGGAAACTCTGAGAGCTCGAGCTCCCAGCCTTTACGGACGGAAAACAGAGAGCCTTTACCCAACCCCTGGAGCCCCACGCCACCTGCCTCACAAGCCCAGGTGCCCAGCAGTGAAGGGAGCGCTGGCTCTACGACCACCCAAAGTACACCGACTGTATCCAACCCCTTTGGGATCAACGCCGCTAACCTGGGCACTGGTACGTATCCTGGAAAGGAAACGGGTGCAGTTGGTTTGGCACCAGCCTCCCAGCTCCAGGTGGCTCCGAGTTGCGTCCAGCATCCCTGTGTTTGCTGTAGTCACTGAGTCTTTCAGATGAGCAAGTCTACTGTGATGCAAGTGGGAACAAATTATTCCTTGTGGGCCTGCCTGAGGGCTAAGCTGGAAGCTGGGATTGATATTT